TTTTCCAAACGGGAGCTTGTTTTTATACCCATCACTGCGGGATCAGAGGTATATTCATTTTGTCAAAACGTCTGTAATGCCTAGAAGGAAGCTTCGGAGACCCCACAAAGTGAATGTATTCTTGATCAGCACCAGCATGTTCGTCTGTCCGTCTATCCATCTGGCTGCCTACATATTAGTCTCATTGAACTTTGAATAGAACGCATTATGTGCCAAAAATGCATCAAACGCAGGAACCATTATTTTTCTATTCGATTCTCCAAAAAAACTGTCTTATTGCGTTGGATTGCGAAAGGGACACTACGATAAAATATCGTAAATGTCTATTTGTGTTTTTTTCAGGTCGGAAAGCCGTTAGAAAAAAAAACAAAATGCAAATAGTGGCTTCGTTTGTGGAGGTTAGTTTGTTTAAATACATTTACAGCTACCCAGGCATAGAGAAGCCTTCATCATGGAATGCTAACAACAATAAGTGATACAATAGAGTCGATTATCAAACGGAAAACGGCTGTAGTTAGAGAACACCATAATAACTCGACCCAATATTACATAGCCGGATGGGCTGACTGGTTGTCCGTCTCTGCGCCCGTCCGTCTATGGTGACATTCTCTTGGCCGCAAAAATGAAGCTAGCGACTTTAAATTTAGCAGAAACATTGGAAGTTCTTGCACATAGGTTGGTATGGAAAATGAGGCAAATCGCTCCAAGGACAAGCCCATGGTGCCACCTAAACTGAGAAAACCTCCTTTTTTCAACAATAACAAAAAATTGCCTTTTTGCTCGTTATTTATAAACTATAGCAGTTCAATTTACAAAATTTCGGACACACGTTCCATGGGCGAAGTTGTGATACCTCTACAAAAATGGAAAAAATAAACATCGACTATTTAATATTTTCATGTATAAAAATTTAGTTTTTTTTTTTCAATACCTTCATAACGCGCAAAAGCCCCATAACGCATATAAATTCCTAGATAGTTCCAATTCGCACAGATGTTCACACATCTGTCCACCTGCTAGTCTGCTCAATTGTGTAACGCCTGTGGTAAAAATGAAAATACTTCCAAACTTTTTAAAGAACAACTTTTTTCTTTGTGAAAAAGTGATTAAACTTAATGCAAGCGCTTATTATATTACCCATCACCAAATATAAGAAGATACGCTCATCAGCGTTTTCAATCAATTTGTGAATTATTAGGAGCTGAGGCCAATTTCCTCTTGTCGTTATTGATTTATCGCAAGATATGAACGCTTTTTCGGTAGATGATATTTGATTGCTTTCCTACAAGTGACTTATATAGAATATTACATTGAGCAAGAACGCATGCACCTTATCTCAAATGCTACAGAGGGCAGAAAAAAATTAGTAAACTTTAACATGTAAAAGCTGTCTTTCATCACTTGTTTAAAAATGATAAGAAATTTTCAAATTGTGTAACAAAAGTTTCTTTACTAAAAAAGAAAAAAAAGAAAGGGAAAGATAGAGAAAAGAGAAACAAAATAAAACAAGTGAGAATATTGTAGTTGGGCAAGGCCGACTTTTACATGCCCTACACCACATTGTCTAACATAATTCTTATTTCCGCCTGAGTGGCCGAAGGCGAGGAATCTCGACTAGCAACACGATGGTCGTGGGTTCGAATCTCAAGTGCGGTAGAGTTTTCAATAAAAGACAATAGCCTTACAATGCTACTGCGTTAATAGTTTAATCTTAGAATTTATTTCTCTGGCGAAATTAATAATAATAATATTAACAATAATAATAATAATACATCTTGTTTTCACATAAATTCAAATTTTTCAAGTGCGTATTTATGGAGAAGCATTGTGCAACCTAACGTAGAATAAGTTTAATCCTTACGTAGAGCAAGATCCAAAAATAGGCGTAGATGTTCCAAATATAGTAAAGCTAATTTTTTTTATGAAACTAGTATAATATTATGGGCCAATTTCGATCACCACGTATTACAGCTTAGACTTTTCTGCTCTACAAAGGGCCAATTTTCGTGAAAATCCTTATTAGAATAAGATCTAAAAACTAGACCGAGATAGTCCACACTTGGCTCAGTTAATTTTTTTATGTTAAATTACTATTATGATATAATTTTCTTCATGAGGCATTGAAAATTGCACCTTTTTGTCCTCTGAACTTCGGGTCTCGTTATATGAGCCAGGGTTCAGAAAACTGCCACAGCCTGTCTAGAGTTTCCATACAAATTTAGAATGCCCAAATACTACTACTTAGCCACTTTTGTTGAGAAATTTTGAAAATTGCAATTTTTTCTCATATAAACACTTTAAAATAGGGCGTTATTTGGGGAGTGATCGAAAAAGTGGACCGAATGAAACCATTTTCAAAGCAGTCGTCTTTGGGTGAAAATAGGCCAGTGTAACGAATTTCATCAAAATGCCTCAAAAATTGCAATCTGTAGCTTGAACACAACTTTTACATGAAAAGACATCGGACGGACACACTGGTAGACAAACAGGCTTAGATCGATTTTGAAAATGACTCTGAATCGATCGGTGGGTCTATTTTAAGCTCTTCTGCGTGTTGCATACGTCCGCACTAGCTTAATATTCCCTGTACCACAATAGGTGTAGGGTATAAATATGCATTGTATAGTATTGTACTGAAAACTTGTCTAGAAAATGGTATGCATAGTAAATATTGTAGTGATGGATAAATGTGTTTACTAAGAGTTTTCTTTTTCCAAATCGGTTTCAAACTTTCTTATTTTAATGTAATTGAAAATTCTTGTTTACGTTTAGAAAGTAAATATTCACTCCATAAACACATGATGTTGATTATCTTTATATATTTATACTTTATACTACTTGTGGTACAGGATATTAACTTAGTGTGAACGTATGTAGCGCGAAGAAGGGCTTAAGGTGTATCCAACTTTTATTATGCCGATCGATTCAGAATCATTATCTGCATTAATCTAAGCCTGTCTTCCCGTCTGTCTGTCTGATTTATGTGCATGTAAATTTGCGTTTATATAGGAAAAACATATAATTTTTTTATTCTTTAATAAAAATAAGAATTGTGGTAAATAATGTAGCTTAGGGTAGGTAAAGATCGATCTTGCCCGACTATAATGTTCTTACATGTTCCTATGTGAATAACCTTTAGACTTCACTAAGCCGTTGTCATAAACTAATTTTTATACCCATCACCGAACGATGTGAGGTATATTCGCTTTGTCAAACTGTTTGTAACGTCCCGAAAGAAATATCAGAGACACCTCAAAGTGTACACACTCTTGATCAGCACCGCATTATAAACCGATTTAAGCATGTCCGTCTGTTAATCTGCCTGGTTTGCCCGTCTATGAAAATGTCTATAACAAGCATTCTCTTAGTCACAAAAATAAAGCTATCGACTTTAAACTTGGAGAAATGTTGAAAGTTTTTGCACATAAGTTGATATGAAAAATGGATCAAATCGGTGAAAAGATACGCTCACAGGATCAAATAAATTGACAATACCTTTGTTTTCCAGAAGGATTAAAAAAATGATTTTTTGCTCATTACTCGTAACTTATAGCATATAAATGTAAAAAAGTTTGAACGTACACTCTATGGACGAGGCTGTAGCATCTATACGAGCATACGAAAAATTGATCACGCCTACTCATTTCGATAGTGTATTAAAAGCGCAGAGACAAGCTTCAAAAATCGTAGAGTTAATAAATTCTTCGCCAGTTTCAAATTTTGAATGCACCTAAAAATGTCCGCCAGTTTGTCTGACCACTTGTCTGTCTGCACAGCTGCGCAGTATTTGTGATAAACATTCTGCCGTTAGCGAATATGTAGGTATCGCCTACAATTTTACAAAACAATTTGGAAAAGACTTCAACTTCTCCAAGGACACGCTCACAATGCCCACGCGCCCCTGCAAGAAAAACTTTTACTTGGAAAATAGAAAATTTAGCTGCGGCCACTCCACATTACAGAGGGAATTCTTTTACTTTTGTTGACTTTGTTACGATAACGATGATGAGTGTAAAAGATTCGGTCACGCCCGAATATAGTTTTCTTGTTTATTTTTTCGCTTATAAACTCTTCAACTCGTCAAGGCATTTATGATCTGTTTATGTCTTTCGTCTTCATTGCTGCGCATTAAAGTTTTTTTACTTTTCGCTCATTCATTTTTTACTATTTTTTTTCTTACCTTATGATGTGCGTGACTTTTAATAAAATTTTCTTATGTTAAGACTCACTTAACTTTTCGCATTCCAATATCCAACCTCTTTTATTTGATAAGCATATTGACGCTACTTTTCAAAAAAACGAATATATCCACCATGTCCAGACAACTATCATAATTAATTTGCAATCAACATAATTACTTTATCGCCTTCTATTCTCAAAGTATTTTCATTTGTTACCCATATCGCTGGTGTTATTAAGAAAAAATTCATCCACCATGTGGCGATGTTCACCATATACGTTTTGGAATGAACCCCTTTTGCCGTCACCAGTGTACAAATTAGTAATAAGCATAAAATCTCAACAAATTGAAAAAAATAAAATTTAATTACTTGTAACGTTGTGTGGGCATGGCCGCTTTCTTTGCACATTAAGAGTTGAGTGTTTCGTTACGTAAATGCGGAAAATTTGAGCCTTCTCCGAGTAACGAGCAAAAAGTAATAGTCAAACTCGGTCCATAAAAAATAATTGGTGCTTCTTATAGAACCTTCGATTGGGCATTTTTCAAACTATAAATGAAAGGTGAACCTAGTCCAGCAGCAGTCTTAGACAAGTAGTTGTGCAACTTGAAGCTTTTATTATTAGTAATAGTGAGATTTTTTATATATTATCTTAGGGTCAAACTTTTACCTTTTTAAAATGAATATTCGTTCGGTTCAGGTAAAAAAGGGCAATAAAAAACACTTGAACAAAAAACTATTTTTTTTAATACTAAAGTAGGCGGGAAAACTTGTGTAGTTAAATTTTGTTATTGAATTAAAAAATAGTCAAAAGGAGAAAAAATGCCGAGGACTAAAGTAAAGCGAAATTTAAAACACTACCGCGAATCTGAAAATAGTTATAAAAAAATACGTGAATTCAAAAACACATTTGATATTTATCTCGCTGCTATGGACAATAATATAAAAACTACCGTCGCTGAATGGGACGGTGAACTAGATTTGATGCGTCAAAGAAACAAGCGCTAAGCTTTTGAAAATGAAAATGGGTGACCTTCTAAAAATAAACTTAAATGCCTTAGAAGATACCCCATTACGTGAACCGGTTCATGTAATTGCAATGCAAAGCAATAATTTTGTTAGTGTTAACGACGAAGGGTATCTTACAGAGGACGCTTCTAGGCCATGCAGTTTCGATAGTGCAGCCTCAGCAAAATCGAGTACTGCTTCGCAACAAGAAGAAAAGCATATTTTTCGTACACCAAAACCATTAAATTCAGTTCACGTCAGATACCCGATGCGAAGTCTTTCAGCTTGTGGTGAATGCTCTATTTCAATTGCCATGAAGCATGGAGCCCGAAATAATATGTTGTCTAATCGTATACGAATTCATAGTGCTGAACGTAAGCGTGAAATATGCCCTCAAGGATAGTCAGTATCGCCGCCAGCAGCCTTCATGCGTTGGCCTAAGCCAGGAGAAATGGTTGTGTCGAAATATGGCAGCCCAATAATAGCTCAGGTATTGCCGGATAAAGGTGCGAATGTCCATATACCCCTACAAGACGGCGTAGTGTCACTGCGTCCGAAAAAGCTTGATGAAGTTCAAGCAGATATTTTGGAAGACCTGGATCCTCAAACCTTGAGTGAATTACGTATATTACATGGCAATCTTGAAAAAATAGTCAATATGGCTGACGAAATCAGTAAATAGAAACGATTTTGATTTGTATTAGTCTTCTCGTTATATTCTAAATAAATGCATTACATGTACAAGAAGACGTTGTAAGAAAAAAACACCCTATCAAGGTGTTGTCTTTTTAACAGAAGGGATTTCTTCCAAAATTTAAATTTGGAAAATCTCTAGTAACTGACATGAGATTGAGAAGACTGAGACCAAGGGGCCACGTACTTATTCATTCGGTATGAAAATAGAGTTGAAAGCAAATGCAATATGTCCAGTCATGTCAATTATATGTGCTTAGCACATCTGCAATTTGTCATTCGAAATGACAGTAATAAGTAAAATCGATACGTTTTTTGATCAGTAATGTCAGCAACGCTACATGAGTTGATCAAAAAGTAATAAGAATTTTCAAATATGCAATAATAAGCAAAGCTCTTGGGCCCTCTGAGCAGTAATGTCAACGCAGAAGTTTACATAGGTTGATCAAAAAGTAATGAGAATTTTCAAATGAGCAAAGGTCTTATGTTCTCCGAGCAATAATGCCCACATAAGTTGATCAAAAGCTAACGAGAATTGTTACATATGCAATAACCAGCGGGAATTTTTAAATACGCAGTAACGAGCAAAGTTCTTAAGTCCTCTGAGCAGTAATTTTAACACGAGAAGTTTACATAGGTTGATCCAAATCTAACGAGAATTTTCAAACATGCATTATGTCATGTATCAAGTTGAATCTTTTTGCAATATAAGGAGTGCAGATGCAAATAGACGGCTTTAATGTTTTATCAATATTCGACGGGCAAACGAGCAAAACACATTTGTAGCATACTCGGTGAATAGCAAAAGATTATTATTGGTTGTAGGAGAAAATTGATTTAAGGTGCAATGAAGGCTTGAAAACAGTATAAACAGACCTTTAATAATGATATTAATAATAATTAATTTAACATTAGAACCAGCAATGTCTTGCATACACCTATCTCCACCAAAAGAAGGGTCGTATTAGTCCTCTATTTTTGCTGACTTCCCAGAACCGTAAAAACGAATGAAGGAAGCGCAAAGGTTGGTAAAGACATTCCTTGATTTAAAAAGGGTTGCCATGTGCCTACATACATGCTCACCATGAGAAAGTGAGAAAGACAACCTACAATTTTTGATCCTGCGAATATGGGAAAATCTGTTAGACATGCAGTCTTATCTAAAAATAGTCCCGATTGGCTTACTAATATACCCACTGTTAACGATAAAATTTGAATGCCAATTCATTTCATTCACAATAGGGCGGAAGAAATGCCGGCATGTGTGAGTATAAGAAGAGAATGAAACTAAATCGGAATTAAAATTTTTAATCGCAAATTGAGACCGTATTAAAAAGTCTTCGCAGAGTGCAGTTATTCGCTCGTCTTGGTAATAATACACCAAAAAGCACATATTATTTTCATGGAAAGCGCCGATATTATTAGATTAGATTTTCTCTTCATATAAGAGCTTGTGATTTGTGACAGCGGCAACATCTGTTGGGGCCCAAAAAAAACGAATAGGGCGTTATACGGAGAGTGGTCGAAAAAGTAGACCGTTCCGAACCATTTTTAATAGCGTTCATCCTTGGGCCAAAGTACATGTATGTACCAACTTTCATCAAAATATTTCAAAAGTTACAAAGTGCAGCATGAACACAATTTTACATGGGCACAGATCAGACGGACAGACGGAAAGACAGATAGGCTTAGATTGCGAAAATGATTCTAAATACGTCGGTATAATAAAAGGTGGATCTATTTTACCCCATCTGTGCGTTACATACGTCAGAACTAACCTAATATAACCTGTACCACAAGTGGTGTAAGGTATAAAGAGTTTCGCGACTGGCAATTAAGGGTTGTCAAAAATGGAGCATTGCACGAAAGAGCAAGACGTTTTCATTGTTGGGCAGTATTTCAAGGAAGTTTGGAGGCCACAGTTCGAAAATTTCATACAGAATATGATTTAATTTCGCCAACTGGGAAGAGAGTAAAATGTGAAAAATTGTGAGTGAAAAATTAAGAAGAAGTTTGCATCAATTAGTGATGCTAAATACGCTGGCCATCCAATAGCAAATGTTGACATCGGAGCAGCAAGTAAGAATATTTGTGGAAGTCCACAAACGTTTATTTGGCATCGTCGTGGCCATGCCAATTGCAAATTTCACGAAGCTGTCTGCAGCGTACACCTGCGATCTACGTGTCCGTGCTTATAAAGTTCTATTAACACAGGAACTGAAGCCTAATGATTGTGTACAGCGAAGTGAGTTCGTCGATTGGATTATTGAACGTCAACAAGTGAATGCTGATTTTTCAAGCGGATGATTTTGCTGCGACGAAGCTCATTTTCGCCTCAACGGCTTCGTCAATTGTCAAAACGGCCGCATTTGGGATTCGGAGAATCCGCACAGGATTATTAGAAAACAAATGCATACGCAACGCGTCACCATTTCTTGCGGGAAGTATCATTGAACTGTACTTCTTCGAAATTGCAACTGGAGGCCCAGCAATGACCGTTACTGGGTCTAGTGGAATAAACCAGTTTTTTCTGCCCAAATTGGGTGATATTGATGGAAACGGCATGTGGTTTCAACATTCCGTCAAATAAATCAATTGCTCGATGAGTTATTCCATGTTTGCGCAGTCCCTCGTTTCAGTGATCAGAATTTCGATAAAAGAGCATTATTCCATACATAACCACACATAATATATTTGATATCGAGCCAGTCCTAAATTGAAAATCATGATTAAAGCAAGCACATGCAATTACGTAATAATAGTGCATTCCAGTAGAAACGTTTATTTAAATTTATTAACTTACGTTCATGGAACAAGTTTAAGTAAATGTTTACATATAACAAATATAAGATAAAAGTTTACCATACTACGTCTTGTAAACGTAGCTTTGTTCCGCCGCACGTCCGTATATATATATATATATTTGAATTATTAAGACTGTGTGTCATGGCGTATATACCAGCAAAGGGATAACACGCGAACCCATATGCAGAAAAGAGCATGTACGGTAAGTGGCGCGAGACAAATGCAAACACATAAATAATGCAGTACGAGACCATAAACAGTTTCGCGTACACACAAAGTAACAAGATATTGCAAGTTGTGGTGAAAAAGACCATAAAGTAAGTGCGAATCAACGACAACAACGACAACAACTCGTATTTAAGAGAAGAATTTTACAAAATTTGTCTATCTGGTCAAGTGACTGTTCGTCCCGGATTTAATACGTACCGGCAACAAAAAGGAATGTTTAAAAAATTTTTAAAGCTTTCTATTAAATAACCAGAAAATATTAAAGAGTAACAAGTAAGAAAATTATATTCGGTTGCGTCCGAATCTTTTATACCCATCACCGTTACCCCTTAAAAGATTGAAAAAGAAGAGGAAAAATATAAATTTGCATATTCCATAAAATCGGATGGGTTTGGGTGATTTTTATACCCACCGCCGAATAATGAGCAGTATATCCATTTTGTCAAAACGTTTGCAACGTCCAGAAGGAAACTTCAGAGACTCCACCGCGTGTATATACACTCTTGATCAGCATGAAATTCTCAATCGATTTAAGCATGTCCGTCTATCCTTCATCTGCGTAATGTTTGTTGTAAGCATTCTTTTAGCCGAAAAACGAAAGTTATCAACTTCAAAGTTTGGAAGTCCTTGCACGCAGATTGATATAGAAAATTGGCCAAATCGGTTGAAGGACACACCTACAGTAACGCATAAACTGAGAATACCTCTGTATTTCAAACAAAGAAAAAAATTGGGTTTTTTGCTCATTACCCATAGCTGATAAATGGTTAAAAATTTGAATGCATATTCTATGGGCAGTGCTGTAGTACCTATAGAAAAATGGAACAAATTGACCACGCCTATCCAATATTGACTTTGAAAATGTAATTTTTTTTCAATACCCTTACAAGCTTCAAAAACACTATAAAATATATAAATTCTTGGTCGATTTTAAACTTGAAACGCAGCTAAGCAAACATGCTCAATTGTTCGTCTGCCCATCTGTCTGTCTGGCCAAATGGTAAACTTTCTTCCGTTAGCGAAAATGAAGACATCCTTTGAAAATTTACACAACATTTTCAAAATGACGCAAGCAGTTCAAAGAACAAAAAGAAAGAAAAATGCATCGGCTAACTTTAGACCGAATTAGAACGAATTAACGAAAGGAATAGTTTTAATAGAAGAACAAACGAGACAAATGAAAATGTGTAACGAGGAGTTGTGCAGTCGAAGTTTAAATTCTAATTGCTTCTTACGACGGATTTAAATGAAAATAGTTGTACCACATATAGAAATAGCAAAGTGGTTGTGTCCGAGGAAAAAAGAGCAGATATATAACATCCGAAGATATATCCTTCTTTAGGCAGAATTTTCGAGTTTGAAATCTTTCACAAACCCATCAAATTAATGACTGCTGTAAATTTAATGTTAAAGTCATAAATATGTCCGAAGGAGCTACAGAGAAACATATTTTTCGGAAAAACGGTATGAAACAAAAAATTTGAGTTCAAAGGTGAGTTAAAGATACATCGTAGTGCAATTGCTGTGAATGCTTGTGAATTGCTACATGGTAACTTCTTTGAAATCCATATGACTGAATGAATTTCTGAATAAACGAAATTTTTAGGAAAATACATTATCTCTTATCTTATCAGGGTTTTTTATAACGAACCGAGCTAAGGCAGGACTTTCAGTCTTTTATGAGAATCACGAGAATAATTGAAACATTATTGCAGAAGGGCTTAAGGCGAACCCAATGTTTTGTTACACCCATCGATTCAGATTCATTTACTGAATCAATCTAAGCTTGTCTGTTTGTCTGTACGTTCGTCCGTACAAGTTCGCATTCAACATGCAGGTCGCAACTTTCAAGATATTTTGATGGAATTTGGTACATTAACGTGGGTTGACCCGATTAAAACGATATTGAAATGGATAGGTCCACTTTTCCGCCCACTTCCAACATAAAGCCTTATT